GGGGGAGTGGGAGAGGGAGAAGCAGGCTTCCCGTTGAGCAGGGAGCCCGATGCGGGGCTCGATCCTAGGACCCTGGGATCATGACCTGAGCCGAAGGCAGACGCTTAACGACTGAGCCACCCAGGCGCCCCCCTGATAATTAGCTCTTATGAACTCATAAGAAAAACACCTCATTAGATAAAGGGGCCGAAAATCAGAACAGTAACTTACCAAAGAAATACACGTGGTACGCAGGCATCTCATTTTAAACATTGATGATTGCTAACGTGTCCCCAGAGAGGTTGTGCCAGCTTGCCTTCCACCTTCCCTGGCTCCCAGGTCCCTGCGGCTCTTGTACTTCCTTCTTCTTGGCTTTGCCCTTTCTTGTCCCTGCTGCTGCTTTTCCTGTCCCCAGCCCCTCCTCTGTGCACTGCCCGTGGCTTCTCCGGGTCTTTTGATTGCATCTGCTTTCCTCCTGCCACCCACTCCTTTACTCAGCCTTCACTGAAAGTACAAGACACTGGAAGTGGAATTTTGAGATGTTTTAATTTACTGAAGCACGCTTTATGTTTCAGCATTAATTTAAAGAGAAACTTTTTTTTTTTTTTTTAATTCTAAGTTACCGAATGGGTTATTTTGCGTTTTCTCCCTTTTTGGTCTTGTTCCCATTTTTGTTTTCTGTGGGGGAAAAAAATCCTTTATCGAGGTCACATGTTGTGGTGATTGCAACTATCACGTGGTATCCTTAAGTCGAGCAGGAAAGCCAGCCTGGCTAGCTGAAGGTCCTCGTTCGTAACTCAGGCGCTGTCACTGGCCACTCGGGTGATGTGACACCGAGCACTGGGGCACAGTGAGGTCGGTGCTCCGTGGGCAGCTTTGGGCAGTCTGTCACAGACAGAGCCGGGATACTCCAGACTGCACACTCAGGCAGTCATCCGTGATTCACATCTGCCTTATCTGCACACATGTACACGCACGCACAGACACGCACAGTCCACATCTCCCAGAACCCTCCCGCCAGGGAAGTTTACCACCCACTTCTCTGCTGTTGATGCACTGAATCATTCCTCCTCTCAGGGGACGTGTATATGCTGCATGTGCCTGTACTCTTGCCTTTACTTTAATCTTCTCATTAGTCTTTCCTGCTGTGTGCCCCAGCAGGTGGCTCGGCTCCTCTGTATCCCAGTAAACAGCGGTCCTGGGAGGAAGGTCATAGATCTGAAGCCCTCAGGTTCTGTAGAGCCTTCAACTCAGGCCTGCCAGGTAGCACTTAAAGTATTGGGGCTCTTTTGTAGTCCCAGTGGCCTGAAATATTGGCGTTCCTTTTTAATGGCGAGCCTGAGGGTGGGCAGGAGCAGTGTGGGGCCAGAGTGGCTCTGTTAGAAGTGAGCGCTACATTGTTGTGCCTTCATCCTGAGTGAGTTGCTTGTACAGAACTTCCCTTCTCAGTTGGAGTATAGCACTTTGTAGGACCAAAGAAAATGTGCTCTGCTGTATTTCCTGAATCGAGGGTGCTTTAGACCCCCAAATGCTGTCTGACCCTATAGCTTTGTAAGCCTGAGGAATGATGATTTTAAAGGCTAAGGAGATTGGTTTAGAAGATGTAGATATTCTACTTCCACGAGCCTCATGTTGAGTGTTTTATACACACAATGTACAGGTTCCAAACTGCTGGCCTGAAATGTAATTGCATCCTAATGTGCACTGTGTGTCTGCGTAACGTTTTAGTTTTACATTTAAGAGTTTTGATGTTCTTACATTTGGAAGATTTGTATTCCCGATTTCTCTCGAAAGATTAGATGTGGCAGAGCCGTGCCTACCTTCCTCCAAGGGTGGGTGACGGTGGCCTGTTTGCCCGACCCTCCATTTTCCCTCTTCTCTCTGCCAGCAGGGTCCCCTGCCAGAGCCATTTGTCACTGTACACCCACCTGGCTCCACCCAGGTATCAAGGTCCCTGCCTCGGCCGTGGAGGCACTTTAGTTTGGCATCTACTAGACACTCAGATACTTGTGGAATGAATTTGTTATTTTTTCTAGCCCTCAAAGCAGTCCTCAGCTCACAGGAGAAAATTGAGACTAAAATAGTTTATATATTTGATCCAGTGTTACACAGTTCCTAAATGGCCAAGGGAGGTACTCAGGTCTACTTTGATTCTTAGGCTGGTCATTTTTCCACTAAATCTCTTAAACTCCTAATGGTCCAGCCTTTTTAAGTAGGGCGGGATGTTGCTTGCTCATTAAGGTGATGGACTCTGAGCAAATGTCATCATTAGAAAGTGAGCGAGTCATCTTCAGGACACAGTGGCATTAACAGCTTGTGTAGTATGTGCGTGTTTCCATATAAAAATGATGCCTAAATTCATAAGGTCTTTCTTTTCCCAAATAAATTGATAATCTGTATTAGCTTGGGCCACCATAACAAAATACTATAGACGGGTAGCTTGAATAGAAATACCTTTCTCGCAGTTCTGAAGCCTGGTAGTTTGGGATCAGGGTGCCAGCATCGTCTGGTTCTGGAAGGGGGTCTCTTCCTGGTTTGCACACTGCTCCCTCGCTGTGTGCTCACATGACCTCTCTGTGCCTGTGTGGAGAATGGCGGCAGCTCGTGGGTGTCTTTTCTTAAAAAGACACCAATCCTGTTGTGTCAGGGCCCTATTCTTATGACTTTGGTTAACCTCAATTATCTGCTTAGAGGTCCTGTCTCTAAATACAGTCATGCTGGGGGTTAGGACTTCAACATATTGGGTGGGGGGAATGCAAACATTCAGTCTATAACATAAAGTTTGCCCTTTTCCACCATAAGGGGAAAAATGATCAGTGAAGTTACCTGTCCTATAACCTATAACACTCGTAAATCAAGAGTAGCCTGTAGTATTGAGAATTGTAAATTGTATCCCTACTTCCTTCCTCTGTCTTTTGTTCTGTTATTTTTTTTATTATATTAATCACCATACGTTACATCATTAGTTTTTGATGTAGTGTTCCATGATTCATTGTTTGCATATAACACCCAGTGCTCCATTCAGTACGTGCTCTCTTTCTCTGTTACTTTGATGTCATTGCTTGAGACCAAATACAAAATCATGTTGCTCCCCTGTCTTTGCCTCCTGAAGTAAGTACCCATGTCTGTTCCTCCCCAACCCTCACAGGCTGGCCTTGGTTCCAGGGTATACAGAAAGTTTTTCACCCCCATGTTTTTATTTACAAAATTTTAAATCTATAGAAAAATCTTAGGACTAGTGTTAACATCTGTATTTACCAGTTAACATTTTTGTCACATTTGTTTGATCTCTCCCTGTATGTATACACATACCCACACACAGAAATACACTCTTTTTCTGAACCATGATATTTTTGCTCTGACATGATGTTTTTGCTGAGATACTTCAGTGTAGATCTCTCAATAACAAGGATATTTTCTTATATAACTACATGTTATTTTCACATCTAAGAAATTTAACATTGCCAGCGATGGTAATGTTTGATGTACGATCCATATTCAAATTTCCCTGATTTTGTTTGTTTTAAATCTGTTCTGTTTCTTAAGCCTTACTTATTGCTGCTTTCTTATCTTAGTTCATATTTGTGTTTTTCCAACTACTTACTTGCTCTTCTTGAAGCACAGGCCGTGCATCTCTGCTTTCATGCCTTTGCACACAGGCTGTACCTTGTTTGGAACCTGTCTTGTTCCATCTTTACCTGGTAAAATGCTATCCCCTAAGCACATTCTAAGTGGTTCCTTTCTCTTCCAGAAAATGTTCCTTGGTATTGTCTAGTGTGCTTGCTCCCTTCTCTAAACTGTGTGAGCTCTTTGTATTTCTGAATGATATTTACTACATTCTGCTCTGTATTAAATGTAGAATTTATGGACTACCGCCCCCCACCCTCACCCCCCCAATCCCCTTTTAGGACTCTTAGCTTCTTGAATACAGGGCTCTATGTATTATGGCTTTTACTACCCATTTTTGTTGCTCACTAAGTATTTTATTGAGTTCAATCTAGAATGCTTTTTATATGAAGTTTTGTTTTTAGTATAATTCATTTATTTGTAGTGTTTTCTGTTTTGGGAAGATGGTCCGAAAATTCTGGATTCCTGACATCCTCTGAAAGAATTGAAAGCACTAAGGGATGTGGACTTTAACACGTCTGCAGGGAGGGGACCCGAATTTCCTCTTTGGAATTGTACCAGCAACATGGCTTTGTCTAGTCAAACGTCTATAAGGGGTTGTATCACAGTTGCGTTGGTAGATTGGTGATAAACTCGGGCAGGCATACAGCCTGTTGTGTCCCAGCAGGAAGCGCCGTGGACTGACACAGAGCAGCTGTAAGATCTCTTCTTTTACATCTAGGTTCGAGACGCAGCAATAAACAGCTTAGTGGAGATTTACAGACACGTGGGAGAACGTGTGAGGGCAGACCTCAGTAAAAAAGGATTGCCGCAGTCCCGGTGAGTTCAGACTGTCTTCCTTCCTTCTGCTCTTCCCACCTTCTTTCTTCAGTTAACCTCCTGGTTTGTACTACTTAATTTATGGTGGTGATTGTAGTCGGAGGTCTTGTCCAGATCGTGTGTTGGGGCCCCTCCCTTCAACGTCCTCAAAAGGAGGACTTTCGCCCAGACATCTGGCCACATCTTGTGCCATGTATTGATTTTAGAAGCATGTTTAAAATTGACTGGTATTGAAAAATTCAGCATTCTTTTGGCTCATGTAGTTCTATATCTTGTTTGCACCAAGTACCTAGTGTAGTAGGTGCTTAGAATATATTTGTTTGCATTAATGAAGCCTTTCCAGAATGAGTCTGGATAGAAATAAAGAATAATAATTCTGGAAAGCATCTTTGAAATGGTAGTGTTCTGGTAGTCTCAATATGTAGAGGCCAATGCAAGGGCATCCACGCCTCATCAGATCCAAAACCACGTGAGTCCACAGATGTCTCTGTTGTAGTCAACATTTTAAAGAAAATAATGAACGACTGGATATCTATAATTTTAACTATGGTGGAAGAATCTTAAACCTTTTGTGCTCTGCCCCACTCCTTTAAGGGAGAGAGTAATGTTGAAGTCCTGGGAAGCTACAAGTGGCCTGGGCTTCTGGAGCAGCTTGTCTGAGCTTGTCACCGTGTCCCTGGAGACAGCAGAGCCCAGAGACATGAAGTGACTTGGGAGGGCACATAGCATGAGTCAGAGCTCAGAGGGAAGCCCTGTTCTCCTGGCTCCCCTTTTAATTTTCTCTGCCCCATTTCATAAGAGTTTACAGAATATTGGGAGTCCAGATATGGGTTGGGATTTTGAAATATACTGGAGTCCTCTGTCTTGATGTCCCTTAATTTGCTATGATGGAAGCAGGCCCCTTACCCTAAAGTAAGGGTTCTGTGAACAGGCAAGTCGGGCTATACTCTATGTTGTTGAGAGTCCTATCTGACCCCAGGGTTGCTCTCACGATGGCCCCTGAGCTGTGTGCAAGATTATTAGATGGGGATAAAACTGTTTCCATGTTTTTTATAACACGTAATCTGTGAGAATAGACTTACCTTGTTCCTGTGTTTTATGAACCTCAGCTTTCTTGTTTTTGAGTATATGGGAGAATACTTAGGAGAAAGATGAACTTAAAGACAAAAACCCTACACGGTGTCCTAGGGAAAACTGGAGGGCCCAGGGGAGCAGGGAGAGCAGGGCTGGAGGGAGAGGGCTGTTTCCTCATGATGTCAGCATCATCGTTGGGAAGACAGACTGTGAGCAGTGAAGCCTTTTCCCGCTCCAGGGGTGGCCTCACCAGGCTGTGTAGTTTGCAGTAGCCCTAGGCCGTGAGCAGACCATCTCACTTGTCCTGTTGAAGCCTGCTGTAGCAAGCCTGTACACCTGGGAGGTGACGTGGTGACACTGAGATCTGGAGAGACGAGTGCTCAGAGCAGACTGCTGTCCTTGGGGAGGCCGGCTTGCAGTGCTGGCCCTGAACTGGCGGCTGGAAGCTTTGATCTGGGGGCTCCCCATTCCCAAAGAGTGGGCAAGAGTGGCTCACTGTGCCCTGGCAGTGTGTGTTACACTGAACACCTGCTTTCTTTCTGGGAGTCTGGCATGCTGGGAAATGCTACCCCAGGGAGTGTCTGTCTGACCAGCCGGGCAGAGCCCTGGGAGACAGCACGGTGCACGTGTTGTGATTGTCACAGCTTGTCGCTGGGGATGTTAAGACTCGCAGAGTGAGTCTTCTGTGATTCCACTCCACTGGGAGGGGCTCTAGGAAGCTTGTGCCTGCTTTCCTGCAGACCTCACCCCATGTACTTTCTCCCTTTGCTGGTTTCTTGAAGTGTCCTAAGTTACGATAGTGATAGCTGTGAGTGTGAATGTGCGCCGAGCCCTGAGTCTTCCCAGCCAGTCATTAAACCCGGGTGTGGACTTGGGGACCCCAACACAGAAGGCGATTTAGGTAAGGCTCCAGGCGCCAGGTAAGGCCAACCAGAGCTGGGGCTAGAACCTTCTCATTCAGCCTCCCAGTGATGGGATTTTATACCATCACCCCTCCCCTTTTTTTTTTTTAATGAAAAGAAGCTGCAGAAAAGTTTGGTCTTCTGTGAATGGGAATGAGGTTTCTGATCTCTCATGTGACCTAAAATCCTTCCTAAAATTTGTAGACCACATGCAGAGGGTAGTCCTAGGGAAATGGGCCCAGATGCTTCCCGGCTGTCGCCGTAAAACTCTGGTGGACACGGTGCCTGGAAAAGGAGTCTGTTGGTGCTTCAAAGGCATTACTCTGGGGGCGCCTGGGTGGCTCAGTCGTTAAGCGTCTGCCTTCGG